AAATTTTTTATGTCACATCCCGACTCAACCGTAGCACGATATTGTCCACCTTGGGCCATGCCCTCACAGATTTGTTCTTAGGCAAGAGAACCTCACTACCCAAAACGAGTCATGCTGGGAAGAGAGTGGCAAGTACATATAAGGCCAGGGACCAACCCTTACCCCACCGATGTGGGATACTACAATCCACCCCCCTTAGGGAGACCGACGTCCTCGTCGGCACATCCTAACGGATGGTGAGTCTGGCTCTGATACTAAATTGTCACATCCCGACTCCACCGTAACAAGATATTGTCCGCTTTGGGCCACGCCCTCACGGATTTGTTCCTGGGCAAGAGAACCTCACTACCCAAAACGCGTCATGCTAGGAAGAGAGGGGCAAGTACATATCAGGCCAGGGACTAACCCTCACCCTGTCGATGTGGGATACTACATTTTATCATATATTTTTATTTTTAGTTTGTACCCATTTTTAATTTGCAACCCTTTTTAAATTTGTACCAATTTTCTTTGTAGCTTTAATTTGTACCCATATATTAATTTCATTTTGTGCCCATATTTTTTAAAGTTTTATTTGTATTTGTACCCATTTTTAATTTGCTAAATGTACCCATGCTAATTATATGTATTTATTTTATGTTCTAAAATATATCAGTAGTTATTTTTTAAAATATGTTAATAATTATGTGTGAACATTATTTTCTTGCTATAATTTTGTGAAGAACAATATTACTCTAATATTTATTTTAAGTATTTATTATATTTTTAAAATATTATTTCAATTTGTTTAAATTTCATAATTTGTGGGACGTTAAATGCATAAATACATGAATTAAATTTCTTAAATGATGTTAAGGACCTCAATCAAAATATTTAATCAAACAAGGTTTTTAATCTAACAATTAGGTTGATTAGAGACCAGAACCAAAATGACCCTTTACTAATATTGGAGAGATGATGTTATAACCCGTCCCTAATTTTACGATTTTATAAATTTTAAAAGAGTGATTTGACAAAAATGCCCTAGAGGCAAGATTGTTGACTTTAGTTGACCACCTTTTAGTGACGAGTATGAGCTATTATTTTATCGTATTCTTAAAGTACTCGATAGTACAAACGTGTAGGTGCAAGCGAAGCAAATTTGGAGTTACGGTTAAAATTTTACGAAACATCGAATACCGAGGGCAAATTGGTAATTTCATGTTTAGAGATATTTTGTATTGTTTTGTGAGACATGTGGGGCCCACGCCCCATTCCTTCACCTCTTCTGTGTCCCCCTATCTCTCAGGATACCCTCTCTCTAATTTTCAAACCTCATCCACTCGATGACTACCACATCACCTTTCCCTGTAACCCTCTCAGCTTTCTCTCCTCTCCCGACTCTTCTTTCTACCTTAGCTCTCTCCTCCGTCTACAACGTTGAATGGTCAAGAGGCGAGCCACCACTCACCACGACGGCAAGCCAGCACCTTCACCATATTTTTCCTTCTCTGCCAGTTGCTCCACCACCCTTTACCTCTTCTCGGCCTTCTTTTCCTGCAAGCGCAGAGAAACTACACACACCATCATCGCCACTCCGTGAGTTCTTTGACTACCATCACACATTTTCAAGCCCTGAAATGAGGACATAAACGTGTAGAAACCCCAAACTCGAGGACTCTCGACCTCTGTACAAACTTAGAGACTTTCTCGACGAAACTCCATCATACACAACCTTGGTAAGTCTCAGGAACTCACTCCCTTATTCCTTTTCATGGTATCCGAATGATCTTAGGGTTTAAAACTTGCTTTGGTAGAGTGTGGAGATGGTTTGGACACGTGGGAAGAAATTCCCCTGTTTTTGGTAGAGGAAACCATAACTAATGAACCACATTTAGGCCGTTCCCCTAACCAACTCTGGCCACTATTCGACTTCAAACTGGTACAAACATGTTCCCCATTCCTAGCTTCTAGTTGGCTTTTAAATCATTGCATTTGGTTGAGATTTGAGCTAGAAAATAGCTTTGGAAAACAAAACTGCAACTAACCATTTTCTAGGCAAAACGAAGAAGGTGAGTACAGTGGTACTCGCAAGTGCGTGGGCACACGTGGGAAGCCACAGCGTTGTGGCGCGTGGCTGCCATTGCAGCCACCTTGTGGCAGCGTATGAATGAGCCCAAAGTCCCTCCTTAGGTTTCTCTATGTGCCGGACCCAAATCCGCCCTCCATTTTTCGAAATTTGACCTTTTTAAAATAGTTTCTTTATTGGCCGTACTTTGTACGAAAACGCATTTATACGTTAATACGTTACGTATTTCATTTCTAGGCGAAACGCATCGCAAGGTCTCTCGATGCTACGAGGTGGGTTCAACTCGATGACATGATCTGTGAGTGGGTCTTTTCTTTGATATATACATATATTTATTTAGTTTCTATATATACATCTAATAATGAATTTTCTATATGACTACTGTAATTAAATTAACATTCATAGGAAATGACATAACGTTGGGAATTAGGAAATCACTATAAATCTTAAGGGATGCCTTAATTAAGTTTATGACTATGAATAATATTATGTTGACTAGAATTGTCGAATCACTATGGCATGACTATATTTATGTTATCTGCTCATCGTTTGCTACATCGATGTTAGTACTCACCCGGGCTAGGGCCAATCTTTTACGTGTATGTGCACATCGTACCGTACTCTCGCTTTGCATTCATTGTAGGTGCCAGTCCTGTCCTAGATTGCTATAGGCAATTGGACTCGTATGTGTGTGCATAGCGCCAGTCTTCACGTAATTGTTAGTATTATAGTGTATATCATTGCTACACCCTCATGTTCATGTCAAAATAACTCTGCATGAACTCATGTGTCAGCATGTGTTGATGAGCACTCGATATGATATGTTTGCTTATGCGAGATTATATGATTATGGACGTCATGTGCTTACTTACGAAATATTGTGTCGTATTGAATTCTTAAGATTTTGCAAGCTACAGTAAGTATTTTCTTACTATACGTAGTATGTATATTTTGAAAAATATACTTATTTTACGGCAAGGGGTTATTATGTTTTTGAAAAGGTTTTTACAAAGCTTTGTTTTTAGGCCCACTCACCTTTGTTTTTTACCCCTCCAGGTTTTAGTGCTAAGCCTTTGTGTCAACGATGATTCTTGGCAAATCTTGGTATTGGAGATTACCTTCGATGTTATAGTTCTCATTTTACCCTACTGTACTTTACTTATGCTTTGACATCACGTGTGAAATAGGTTCATTCCCGCTCACATGCGCACTCTTGTATTTAGGCATTTTTAAGTTTAAATATATTCACATTTTCTACATCACTACACTTTATGACTTCGTCACCCTTCTGGTGTCGTCCAGCACAGCTCAATTCGGAGTCCAAATGAACATTCTGAATCGGGATGTGTCAGATGATGAGTAAATGGAGCACAAATAATAGCATTCAATTATCGCTATATATGCTACGTAATTCAAGCGTAAGCGATGACATTTATACAGTCATAACTCATAAGCCTCAAGTGTTATGGTTGATGTGGAGAAAATTTGTATGTGAGTCAATATGTATGGTGCCTTCTATAATGTGAGCGACCATTCAAGCGAAGACTCATGGTTTTTAAATTATATTGTTTTGAGCGGCAAGAATGAAAGAGCCTCAGTAAGGGGGTGATTTGAGGGGTTAAATTAATACATAGTTTGAAGTTGTTAGTGTTTTTTTTTTTTTTTTTTTTTTTGTTATATTGTGTGAATAATCAACCGAGAAATAAAACATTTCTTTTGTCAAAAAAAAAAAAAGAAAGCAATTAAGTATTTGATAAAATGCTTCTAAATGATGCTCTCTTATAATCCACCATATAAAAAATCTTAATATACTATTTTAGTACAACGAAGATGATTGTCTTCTGTAATAACTGTGTAGTTAGTAGACAAAGGATTAGAAATTCCTTAAACCTTGACAGCAAGAATACAAGACTTGCCAAGAATGAATTCCTCAAAATTAGGACTGCAGTTCCTTCTGATGTAAAGAATAGTTCTGCTGAGATTTATAGGAACCCTTTGTGACGGTATGGAGGTCCTGGGTTGAAGCTCTTTGTCCTCAATTTTATCATTTGTCGCATTCACTAGCAGGGTTCGACGAAGGGTGTAAGCTAGCTTGATATACATTATCAATGTTGGATCACACTGCCCGTAGGGCCGATCCTGAAATTCTCGGGGCCCAAGTGAAACTTCGAAAGGGGGCCTCTTGGTTCTCAAGTCCTCTAATATGTTGCACATTCATATATTTTATTTTGTTCAGTAATTAATTGTAAAAATCTATTGTTATGTCATCAAAGATAAACTTGATAAATATATTTGTCATGTGTTTTTAGCCGTAAAAGTACTAATTAAATTCATATAATCAAGTTTTTCTGCCAATCTTTATTATTTCATTGCTAAACCTTACGATCCAACAAAAATTTTAGTCATAGAATTACTCAAAAAAGTTACAGAAATTCATAGTTTCGATTGGATTACCTCATTGCTATCCTCAAAACCTTGTGAGCTGATATGGAGAATTTGAAAAAGAGAAAAAAAAAAATTGTAGGAAAATGTTCAAGGATGGGAGTCTGGGACCTAGGATATTCATCTGTCAACTTTTGAAAGGAAGCCAAGCAAAGAAATATATGTGTTAAATGAATGGGAAAGGAGAAATCATAGGGTTTGGGCCTTAAGGGTTTTGAAAAAAGAGGAGAAACCTTGTGGCATAAGACATCAATAATATTTTTGGGGCCCTTCTAAAATGGAGGCCCTAGGTGGTCGCCTCTTCTGACTCCTCTCAGGGGTGGCCCTGATTGCCAGTGAGGTGAGAAGGGAAGGGGTGCGTTCGAGGATAAACTCGGAATTTTGAAAGGGGTTATAGTGAGCAGTGGGGGGTTATCAATAGAGTTCCCCTAAATTCAAATGACTAGTTTGATGATCTACTATATTACATCTAGCTTTTTACCAACAAACAGATAAAATGGAGACAATTTATTCTTGAAAAGGACTGAAATATGAATCTGTGAGTTACCATGAAGATAATGAAACCGTAACAAAGACTTCGCGACAACTAAATTCCCTGACTTTGTAGGACACTACTATGATTATTAGATGAGAGCCTAAACTTTGAATGCCTGGAACATTAACTTGTACAGAAATCTGAAGGTCACTCAAGACATTCGAAATCCACCTAGGCCGATCTCAGTCTCTTTCAGGTGACTCTTCCTCCATCTCCGAGGGCAAATCCAACGATACCTGACCATTGTACTGTTGCACCACCAAGACGGACGCTGATGTAGATAAATCTGGTGAAATTAACAAGCTCCCAACAGGACCAAGTTCCGGACACTCACTCCTCCTATTTAAAGCTAAGGCTACTTCACCATCAGGTGTTCGCCCCACCAGAAACAGATGGCACCGGCCTATCTCGCGAATCACAGAAATTGTCTGTGCCTCATTTCTGACTGCCTTCTCTTCGTATGTGACGGAGTCATCCTTAGCGATTTTCTGCTTGAACTCAGTGAGGAATTCCTCATCTACTGATCCCACTTTGGTTCTAGCATTGCCATCAATATTAATCCTAGATATCTCCCCCGCAAGCTCGGGTTCCACTAGGAAGCGAATGACCATTAAACTGATGCCGGGGTGCTCAGCCATACGAGCACCATAGGCAAGGGCTTCACGGTCATCACGACCCCCAAAGAAGAGAACTGTGATGAAATAAGAAACGTTGCTTGCAGCAATGTGGGTAGCTCCACCAAGACCACGATCGACCAGAATTCCAACTGAGCAAGGTGCATACTGAAGAACCCTCTGGTTAACAAAGCGAAAGTCATTTCGGGTAGTCTCTAGTGTACCATCTAGCCTCTGGTGCTTATGGAATGGAAGAATTACGATTGCAGCTCTTTTGCTCTCAGCGGTGGCACAAATGTCCTCGTGCATATCAGATGTTGAAGATATTTCAGTCATTGGCCTGATGGACACCCGGCTCAGCTGTTGGTATGCCTCAAATGCCACAACCACGCTGTCAGAATTTGATTGCTGGCCCTTATTCCAGAAGGGTAACCCGTTTCTTCTTGCCCTGTGTACCATTAATATAGCTGATGACCTCTCAGAGAGCTCCTTGAGGTGCATTGCATAGACACAAAGGCCTTCGCGCTTGTTTGTGCCTCGTGAGGCCTCAAGCAGATTTATTATGGATGGAATGTTTCTTGCACTATGAAAACAGGCCAAGATCCTTAGTTGAGTGTTCGTATTTTTCCTTTCAATTGTCTTATGCTTGTAATCAGCCATTCTTCCCCTTTTCGCTGGCTTATAAACAGCAACGACAAGAGGCGTGGTGATAAATGTGGTAAACAGAGCCATTAGAACCATAATGGCAAAAGTCTGGTCATTCAAGACCTGTGAAACATAAACAAATGATACAATTTAAACGGTTATTTGATATAAAAGAGACAATGATAGAAGAAATAATTTTTTACCTTTCTGTCTTTGCCAATGTTGAGGACAATGAGTTCCACCAAGCCTTTACTGTTCATCAGGAACCCCAGAGCTAAAGCCTCGCGGACAGGCAATTTGCAGGAAAGAGACACCACAATAGTCCCAAAAATCTTCCCGAAACAGGCAGTAAATATGACCAAAACCAAAAGACCCCACGACTGAAGCCCCTGAATTGTGGCAACATTAGTCTTCAGTCCACTGGACACAAAGTACAACGGCAGAAAGAGACCAGACACGAGATCTTCTACTTTTTCCACAAGAGCACCTGCAAATGGCCCCTCCTTCGGTACAAGAACTCCGACCACAAAAGCACCAAACATGGCATGAATTCCAATTGTATCAGTAATAAAACCAGCAGCCAGAACAGCAGTTAGTGTAGCGCATACGTAGATCTCGTCAACAGGTTCACCTTCTTGACATTGTTGAGACATCCATTTGAAGATTGGAGGAACAATGAGAATTGCACAAATAACAAACGCACACCCGGACAAGAAGACCCATAGTGGAACAAGGGGAGATTGGTTACTGCCAGATAGGGCAACAGCAAGAGCCAGTAGAATCCAGGCGGCCACATCATTAACTGCTGCAGCCGACATAGCCATTCTTCCAATGTCGGTGGTCAAGAGTTTCAACTCAGCCAGAATACGAGCTAAAACAGGGAAAGCAGTTATCGAAAGGGCCACACCCATGAACACAAGAAATGCAGTAGCATCTACCCCCTTGGCTATGGTTTCTCGGAGGACAAATGATGAACCTATTCCTAATGCAAATGGGAGGGTTATTCCTGCTACGGCAATGGCAAGGGCTTGTTTTCCAGTCTGACGAATAGATTTAGGATCTATCTCTAGCCCTGCAAGGAATAGAAAGAATAGGAGACCGAGGTTTGCTAAGGTGTCCAACACAGTGATACTCTTCGGTGGAAATATTGCCTGGAGATAACTTTTGTTCCGCCCCAGAGCTGATGGCCCGAGTAGGATTCCGCCCTGTCAAACCAGAAAAGTCATTCAACCTCGGATGTATCACAATCAGCATGGTGTTCTGCTTTAGGTTCAGTTAAATGCAAATACATCTATTAACCCTCAAACAACATACTCCTGTCCGAAAAAACAATCTTCCTTCCAATGTGCCTAAACATCTGTTGACCCTAGAAATTACAAAACCTACGTGGCGCGCAGGCCGAATATATTCTAAGCTAACTACGTCCTTCGGTGATTGCGGGGCGTGCCAACTCGTCGGCCGAGGCTCGGCCGAGGAGTAAATTTGTTGATGTTGCGTTGAGCGCGCTGCTGACTTCTGTGTCTTGCGATTGCGGCCGAGGAAGGAACAATTCTCGGCCTCTTGGGCTCTCGAGCCTGAAGACAAGGCTGCTAATTTGCGAAGTTCACGAACCGAATTCGGCTTACAATGTGCCGAATGTAATAACTGTAACACCCCACCTCGCCGAGAAGGCTAATGAGATGACCTCGACCAACAAGGATTCGAAAACCCTTCTCGACCGAGACTTGGATAGGCAGTCGACCGTTCTCGCCGCAGTGCTGTTGATGCCAACGGAAGATACTGCGAGACCGACCGACTCTACGGTGACAGAGCTATCTATGCCGACTTAAGATATCACCGGTTGCTTCCACAGTGCTGTTGATGCCAACGGAAGATGTGTCAGCGAAAAAGGAAAAGAAAAAGATCTCAAGTTGTGAGAGTTTGCGCAGGGCAATTTTGTATTGATGTTTGTGTCTGTTTGAATGGTGCGCAACCCTCCCTACTTATAGTGAAAGTTACACCCGTCCGCTTGATACTCTTGGAGAGTCCTAATTGGACTCTGTCTTGTGGAATTGCATCTGGTTGTACATTCGTCTTATATCCTTTAGCCAAGGATCATATCCCTTTATGCCAATAAGCTTCCCGCCTTGAAATATGCCAATAATATGCATGTATGGCTGACCAACGCCAATCATGCGGCTGATTAAATCCAAATTGGCATCCTTATCTTTATGCATGCGCAAAAATCCATACCAATCCATAACCATTCGCCAATAATCAGTAATGCATTAGGATTCTAATGCCCCACCATCCTACGAATAAATTGGGGTTTTAGATAAAAACTAGGTTTAATAAATTATGATTAAAATCCCAACATTATCTCAATCATAATTTATTTCAACCACTTTGTCGTTCAACGGCCTAAAACCCTGCTCATCCGACGGCCTTGATTGCTCGGGCCGATATTGTAAAAATGGGTCCAAACATTGCCCCCCAGTTTCCTTGAGCTTCAGCCCGTAGGCCGAATGGTTAAGGAAATTAGCTCAGTCGAAGAAATGTACGGTCGAGGAGTCCACTCCATAGCATGACACGTCTTGAATATGATCAAAGAAGTAATAATCTTGGTAGCCTTATGGTCCCCTCAGTCAACACAATGCCAAATGAACTACCATCCCCATTTGTTTTCAGCCACCATCTGTGAGATAGCAACAAAACTGGGGTCGAGGGTAAAGTGGGTCGAGGCCGAGAAGAATTGAGGTCGAGGTCGATAAGAAATGGTCCCTATGAATTCGGCCTGCCTATATATATATATATATATATATATATATATATATATATATATATATATATATATATATATAATTCGACCCAGCCGTATATCATCGAAGGATGAAATCCACTCTATTCATAAACTCCTCTCGGCCAAATCAATACCTGCTGAGTCATCACCGAGAGCCACCGTCTAGCACCCACCATCGAATAAAGATTGGTCGCTGAATTCCGGGGAAAACAAATAAAACCACTTTACTTCGTTCGGTCGTAAAAAAAACCTTTGGACACAACCGAACTCGTCGTACTGAGGCCAAGCTCAACAACATATACTGGGTAGCTCGGCCCATGCGTCGGTAATACGAAACCAACTCATTTACCAGCGGAGATCATCGTCGAACAGCAAAACCTTTTCAATACATGACTCGGCAAAAATTTGATGGACCTGCCGAGCTTGGTGAGAACCATAACAAATTGGGCCGAGGTTGATGATTTGGCCGAGACTCCAATTTGTATCTATGCCGAGATTGTTGTGTGAGTGAATGCATAAGGCTGCCATGCACTCACTTTGAGCCGGCCGAATGATTTTTTTTTTTTTTTTTTTTTTTCTTCGGCCAAAAGCAAATATATATATAAACACCCATACACACACACGGCATCAGGCCTATATAGACACATTCGACCAAAAGCTAATATATATATATATAAACACCCATACACACACGGCATCAGGCCATAATGATGTTGGCTTGAAATAATATATAAATATATATATATTTGTTGCCCCCCTTATTTTCTTACGCATCGGCTTGCATAGCCGTATGTTTAAGAAAATAATATATATATTTAACAAACGAAAAGAAAAGTGGCCGAACCATAGTCAGGAGGAGGCCAACGATGCTTTATTCCAAGTCGAGATCTTGTAAAATCTTCAAATTGATTTCGCTCTAGGCCGAATAAAGAATTTCCTCCAAATATTTTTGACTTGGAGAAATATTTTTCATTCTCGGCCGCCGAATGTATTGAACAATTATTATGCCCCCCAGGCATAATTTCGGCTTTTAATTCAAACCACTTAGCCGAACAGGATTTCTCCATATCGGCTTTATTGCCAATAATCATATCAATTGGCGTAGTTTCTTGGGCTAGGCCAATATCTTGGCCTCGTTCGTCATTGGAGCATTCCTCTGACGAATCATTTTCCAAGTCAATTTTTGTATCTAGCTCAAGAACTTGAATTTTTTCTTCTAGGCCTACCACACTTTCGGTCTCGACCGAAAAAATAGGTGGCTTTTGTTCTTCGGCCAAATTAACAATTTTCTTAGACCGATGTCTGATTACGGCCGAAGCGAAAAATTGCCCCTCGGCCTTTGGGCCTAACCATTTTTCAAATGGAATTGATCTGTAGTCGGAAACGTAAGGAAAATTTTCTTCATCTAGCCAGACATTAAATCGAGCCCTGTCTTCATTTACCCATTGCCCTTGTAGGATAACAGGAGCTTTTATTTTCAACATGCAAGCGAATGACTTTTGCATCTCTCTATGGCCACGAAGAACTTTTTCTGCTTCCAAAGATTTTTTACATTCCTCATTATGTTTTTTCAATTCCTCCAGGAGCTCGTACAATCGGCTACGTTGAGCCAGATTGGAATCTTGATATATCATATGAACTTCGTAGTATAGCACTGGGTCCCACTGGGCGTGCCAAAATGTTGACCCTAGAAATTACAAAACCTACGTGGCGCGCAGGCCGAATATATTCTAAGCTAACTACGTCCTTCGGTGATTGCGGGGCGTGCCAACTCGTCGGCCGAGGCTCGGCCGAGGAGTAAATTTGTTGATGTTGCGTTGAGCGCGCTGCTGACTTCTGTGTCTTGCGATTGCGGCCGAGGAAGGAACAATTCTCGGCCTCTTGGGCTCTCGAGCCTGAAGACAAGGCTGCTAATTTGCGAAGTTCACGAACCGAATTCGGCTTACAATGTGCCGAATGTAATAACTGTAACACCCCACCTCGCCGAGAAGGCTAATGAGATGACCTCGACCAACAAGGATTCGAAAACCCTTCTCGACCGAGACTTGGATAGGCAGTCGACCGTTCTCGCCGCAGTGCTGTTGATGCCAACGGAAGATACTGCGAGACCGACCGACTCTACGGTGACAGAGCTATCTATGCCGACTTAAGATATCACCGGTTGCTTCCACAGTGCTGTTGATGCCAACGGAAGATGTGTCAGCGAAAAAGGAAAAAGAAAAAGATCTCAAGTTGTGAGAGTTTGCGCAGGGCAATTTTGTATTGATGTTTTGTGTCTGTTTGAATGGTGCGCAACCCTCCCTACTTATAGTGAAAGTTACACCCGTCCGCTTGATACTCTTGGAGAGTCCTAATTGGACTCTGTCTTGTGGAATTGCATCTGGTTGTACATTCGTCTTATATCCTTTAGCCAAGGATCATATCCCTTTATGCCAATAAGCTTCCCGCCTTGAAATATGCCAATAATATGCATGTATGGCTGACCAACGCCAATCATGCGGCTGATTAAATCCAAATTGGCATCCTTATCTTTATGCATGCGCAAAAATCCATACCAATCCATAACCATTCGCCAATAATCAGTAATGCATTAGGATTCTAATGCCCCACCATCCTACGAATAAATTGGGGTTTTAGATAAAAACTAGGTTTAATAAATTATGATTAAAATCCCAACATTATCTCAATCATAATTTATTTCAACCACTTTGTCGTTCAACGGCCTAAAACCCTGCTCATCCGACGGCCTTGATTGCTCGGGCCGATATTGTAAAAATGGGTCCAAACAACATCATGTCCACATTTTCATACAGCACAAAGAAGAAACAAATAAGAATATCTGTATAGATCCTAAACATATCTGAATATCCACGAAATCATTTAAATTGAAAACAAAACAAAATAAATATTTTTCAGAAACATTGTGCTACTTTTTGCTAGACTACAGTTCAACACCCCCTAAATTTCAAAGTAAACAATCTTAACGGCCAACAAACATCAAACACACACAAATTTAACATCGAAGGTCCAAAAGCTCTTCTCTTTCGGATTGGTCCCAGGAAGTAAGACCGAGTGTAAATACAGCAATGTGATCATGGACAAAACTAACTACCCTTCGATTAAATTTCTGGGCAAAAAAAGAAATGAACTTACAACAATCTCCGCAATGACTCGTGGCTGTCTCAATGGCTTCATAAGATAGGCAAGACCCCGAGTGGCTATAACTACAATACATATCTGCAAAATAACGAGAGGCAGTGCAAAATGTAAAGGACTGTCCCCCTGGAACGCACCGTTTGATGTGGCCTTCATTGGAGGCGGACATGTATTCCCCACCGAAGCATTGGAAGCCATGAAAGTCAACGAACAAAAAACCGAAAATTCAAGTTCTTTATCTGCCAAAAGAAACCCAAATCAGAATTCGAATTCCGGAATTACCAACAAATATATGAATTAGAAGCGAAGGACATCTCCACTACACTAAGCCTTCAAATATACAGACATCCAACACAAATATGTCCAACAAAAGAGCATGTGCTTAATTGGACAAAATATCATGCCCCAAAAACCAAATTAAAACTGTTTATTTTTCTTTTGGGTCACTATTCCAAATCAAATAGTACGGTTCAAGAGTGAAAGAAGAAAAGAAATAGTCCAATCCAATTGGAAAATTTGATCAAAATCCACGGTTTGCACAGAGGGTTGGGATAAAAGAGTCCCAATCCTGATCAAAGTCAATAAATTTAAACGGACTTTGGAAACCACAGTCAATAAATTAGCAAACAAACAGCTTTCTAATCAATGACAGTAACCCATGTGAGATTTCTGGAAAAAGAATTCAACTTTACAGCTTAATCACATATTTCACAAAAACCAATAAAAAAATCTTGCAAAACAAAGCATGTTTCGATTCCAGAACATAAGAGAGATGATAAATTTACCTGTTTATTGGGTCAGCAGGTTCAAATATGAATCCCCACCTCGGTTCGGTGGAAACAGAGCTTTTCAGGAATGGCTCTGAATTGTAAGTGTAGTCAGCCCCTGAACTTGGAGATTGTGCCACCAGCTTTTAAATAAGAATTGACTGAGAGAGACAGAGAGGGTAACGACAGGGGACTTGGATTGTCTGCCCTCCTAGTTGTGGTGCCCTTCCATGCCCTCCTATTTTGTGCGGTCACGGTTAAGCCACGTCAATATTTTATATTAATTTTTTAATGAGATAATAAGACAAAAAATAATTAAAATATAAAATATTGACGTGGCTTAACCGTGACCGCACAAAATAAGAGAGGATGGAAGGGCACCACAACTAGGAGGGCAGACAATCCAAGTCCAACGACAGGTGGGATTAACCAGATTTGACTTTCTCCATTTTCTTTTTTTTCTTTTTGAAACAAAACGATATTATGTGCATTAAGAAAGTGAGGGGAGTGAGCTAAGATACTGTGTTCAAATTTATTTTTGATGAGAATCAAACTTAAGATTTCTAACTTATAAATGAAAACAAATATTACTAGATTGTAGTGCTAAGTGATGACTTTCTCCCTTTTTATAATAAAACATAATAAATTCAGAATTTCGTATATTAGTTATTTATGATAATGTGTCAAATTTTTTTTTTTTTTGGGTGTTTAAGTTCGAATTCACCACTAGAGCCACGGCTTGACGTATTTTTTATATACATGAGATCTCATATTTGACTTACAAATTTGGCGAGTTTGGGTTTTTTTTTTTTTTTTTTTTTTTTGAATAAATGACATTATTTACATTAAGTGAAAGATGATGTGTTTAGTCTCACAATTGACTAATAATAATGTTGTTCAAAATCGCCTTTGAAGAGAATATAACCTAAGACCTCTCACTTATAAGTGAAAAGAAATGTCACTAGACCGTAGTATTAAGTAGTTTGGCGAGTTTATTACAAAATTATTATCAGTAACTTATTGTAAGACCTAAATGAACTTTTAAGACTCTTAAAGTGAAATAGTGTAATCAACTTTGTAATTAGTAGTTTTTTTTTAAACAATGATATATTCACTAAAAAACTAGTTGTTAAGTACTAATAAAAATAGATGAATTTACCATTGAAAATGGTCTTTTTCTTCAAACAACGGCGTTCTAAATTCAACCCTTCATATCTCTTGTAGAATTTTATTTGTAAAATAAAAATTGGCGGATTTGTGGCACCACTTTCTTTTGGTAGTGCTATCGACCCACACATTTTTACTTCTTACATAATTCTCTCAATTTTCTAATGTGTGATCGAATAAATTGAATATAATTAGACCAAAAATTAACAAGGGTGTATGGGTTGTAAAAATGGGTGTGTGAATAGCACTACCCCTTTTTTATACAACTTTTGGCACACATTTTTGTGGAGCCCACTTCGTATTGTATTTCAATGATCTAAACCGTCTATTTTTTGGGTCTTCTTTCAAATATTACGTCTACCGTGTCTACCAAAAATCACAAAAATCTGAAAACCATATTACTATTAGATTAAGGGTTTAGAGTGTTTTTGTAGAACCGTACTTGTTAATTTTCTTCACTACAAATGAATGTCTTAATAGTTTTGAATTTGTCAAATTTTTTGTAAGGCTTTTTAGCCAAAATGGTTCTTGAGATTTTCATAATACATAACTTTGGTCCCTGAGTTTTAAAATCAATAGAAGTGGGCCCTGAGATTATCTACCATCAATTATTTTGGTCCTTCCATTAAAAAACTCCATTAAGTGGCCCTTGAGCTTTTTAATGGAATGACCAAAATGATGTATGGTGGACAATTTCAGGGATCAAAGTTATGTGTTATGCAAATCTCAGGGACCAAAATTATGTGTTATGCAAATCTCAAGTCCAAAGTTATGTGTTATACGCTCAACTTAACGGAGTTTTTTAATAGAATGACCAAAATAATGGATTGTGGACAATCTCAGGAACCACTTCTATTGATTTTAAATCTCAGTGACAATTTTGACTAAAAAACCTTTTTTGTAATAATGATCTATAAATAATGTTCTAAAAGATAGACATTTCAGATGTCAAAATACATTATAGAGTAAGCTTCACAAAAACGTATGTAAAAAAATCATGTAAAAAAAAAAAGATGTCACTAATCGCTCACAATAAAAAGAGTGATACTACTCATATGTCTCTTTTCCACTAACTTTATATTGAAAACATAATAACAAATCAACCTAAAATGGTTGAAAAAATAGGACAAATGTGGGTATAATAACTCGATAGAAAAATAGAAGTTGGATGGTTCATAGCAATTGTCTCTGTTTGCGACAACGAGAGCCATCAAGCAGGGAGATGAGTTGTCAAGTGGAGAATAGAAAATGCAAGACAACGACTTTTTGTCACTTTTCTTCAATATTCAGAAAGA